AAATCAAAACCAGGAGGAGGAACTCATTTTTACAGATTATAGGAATTTAGTAAGTTATCATATTGCTATTTGTCTCTGAAATTCAAATTTGTAAAAGGAAAACAAGAAACCTGGTTTGGAAGAAAAACCTTATCTGATATTTAAGTCTGACAGAAATAGTTCATCAAATAGCCTTTGACTTAAGGTGCATAAAATATAAAATGCTGGTTTCATATATGATACAACTTTGATCAATGAAAGATTTAAAATTTGACTTCTAGTTTTTTAAATAACAACATGTAATTTAGAAATTTGGTGTCACTTGATAAATTTGTATTGATATACTTCATTCCAGATGTATTTAAGTATTTATTGGTCTGTGAGCTAACCAATAAATAAATTTGAAATTTTACACATGTAGGTTTATAGATACTTATAGTACTGCTGTAAGTCTAATTATTTTCTTATTCATACAAATTATAGACTGCACTGAATTTGTTCTACCTGACTATAATTGGACATGGATTATCTATAGCATCACTGCTGATCTCACTTGGCATTTTCTTTTATTTCAAGTAAGTATATAAAAATATTTATCAAATCTTACCAATTGTCCTGGATGAATGCAGTTATGTGTTTATTTATGTAATGTGCTGACAAAATTTATAAAATATAGGCCGTTTATAACATAGATGCTTAAAATATATTGGATGTTTCAAATAAATTATAATAGTTGATCTTAGCTTTATAAAATATGTAAAGGAGACGTAAAATATCTTAACTCCAACTTCACAAAATTAGTAGGAAATCCTATAATAAGAAAGGAGCCCAAACCAATACACAAACCTAATTGTATTTATTTCAGGAACTGTCACATATTATGGAACTTCTTCACTGAATGTTCAACATTTTAAACAAATTTATACACCATCAATATACAAGTGTGTTATAGGAACTGCCTTTTTTGGTAAATAATAGCAAAGGCATTTCATGTATTATTGAAAATGTAATCTAAATATACTATTATGGTTAGGTTATTTTTCTAGTTCAGGTGGTCAACAGTGACATGGATAAATTTAAGTGTTTTACATGATGGATCATGAATAACATCTGTTTGTTATGGTTCATTACTGTGTAAACCTCTAGGGCTGCAGCTTTTTTCAAGGGAAGGTCCTTGGACAGCTTGACAAATAGAACAAACCCATACTATTTGTCTAGCAAGTTCAATAGGGGCATGCTAATGGATGGATGTGCTAATGGTTTGGCATTTTGGTGATGAGAAGTATGGGAGGCTGAAGCTTGTTGTACTGACATAGTAAATATTACTTTGTGAGAAGCTAGTGTATCTACTTGGTTATTACCTAGGGTCAAAGGTTTTGGTAGTTTGGTATTGAAGAGAATTTGGTAATTTTTCTATTACTTTTCTTAAAGTTTGGACTTAGTTACAAAAAGTAATTTCTGAGATGAATTAAAAAATTATTACTGATAACATACATTATATGTATCCATTACATATAAAGACACAGAATTAACACTAATGTACTTAATATTAACTAATTTTTTTCTAACATGAAGATCCTTGTGATCATGACTGAGTATAGCCTCTGTCCTAAGGGCATATAATATGAATTATAACGGTTTAAAAACTATCTTACAATTTTTCTTGGGAAAAAATGTTACAAGTTAAATATTTTTAACCTCAGGGAATAGAATGCCACCCCTAATTCAAAACAAACAAACTATAGTCTTGAGAAAGAAGACTTGCACTTAAATTTGCAATATTAAAAAAAAATAGATAATAGAAACATGTTACCAATTTATAAATAAATAAAATATATGAATATATCTATGATTCAAACATTCTTTCAAGCAATTTCTAATATTTTTTCAGTTTTATTCATGTCCAATTATTTCTACCATTTTAACTGGAGTATGTAGTTTATTTTAACTATTTTCATCATAGTGTTCTATAATCAGTGTTTTATGTTACTAAGTAATTTTTGAAAACAACCACTTAACCAGATAAATAAATATTCCATTTAGTAGGTTTATGAAAGCTTGTTAAACAATTGTATTTTTTAGCATTAACATTGCTTCCATCTTTTTCTGTTAATTAAAAAATACAGCAATGGGCATTTTCAACCGTAACTTTTCCCATATTTTGCACTATTTTTTTAGGCCACATTCCCAGAATCTTGGGATTTCTTGCTCATAGTTTATATATCTTTTTATGGCTCTTGAAAAATATCATCTCAAAAGTATCTCAAAATCAACATGCTCAAAACAAATTTATAACGTCTATCTCCTAACCAACCCGAAGCTGGTTTTTCTTCCAGAGGGATCCATTTTTCACAGATGGCACCCAGCAACCTACTTCCATTAGCCAGAAATTTAGGAGCAGTCTGTGATACCTTTTTCTCTTTTTCCCTCCTCTCTTATTCTTTCCACATATCCTGTGGATTTAACATTTGAAATGCCTCCAATCTACCCAATTTACTTCATTTGTACTGCCATCAATACCGGTCTTATTCTATTTAGGCTAAGTAAATTCACTTTCTCTCTTTATTCAATTTGAAACAGTGCAGCCAGAATAATAGTTTCAAAGATTTTAGATATGATTTTATTAGGATGTCTAAAATTCTTTAAAATTTTTTCTAAAATTTTTAGACATCCTAATATAATTCATATAAAATCAAAATTATTCATGTACCATGCCTGTTTCCTTTGCTTCCTGCCTCCTAGTTAAAAGTATTTATTTTCCATATCTAAACTTAGCGTAATTTCCTTAGTGAAATATTCCTGAATTGCTTACTGTAATATTTCTGAAATTAAAGGCAGTGGACATGGGCTAAAATTTTGGTTACCATTCGGAATACCACCATCTCTGCAAATTAAAAACCAGTACAGCTGAGACCCTTCAGATTAAATTGTCTCTTTTTATATTGCATGTCATAAAGCAAAATAGCCAAGCACATTAAATTTTTGAAAGAGATAAAATTAAGTATAGCTTGTATTGCATGCCAAAACCAGTAGTCGGAAAGAAAAGAATAGTCTCCTAGAATTCCAAGTTGTATGGGCCCAACAAGTATAAAGTTAGCCAAATCCTAAACCAATTTCATAAAGTCAAGGCAAAATTAACAACATTTCTTTATGTGAAAGAACCTAAGATTTAAGAGCACAAATCCTCGTTTGTGAATTAATGAGGCAATATGGAGCTGTCAAATAAAAACAATGTCGCAAGCCAGACTGCACCAATAAAATGTGTAGTTTTCTTTTTTTTTTTTGAGAGAGCCTCAAGCTGTCCCAATCAGACTGCTTTTCACCTAGTTCACTATGTAAAAGGAAAAGAGGTCATAAGAGGTAGTTTAATCGGATGAGAAGATATCGAAGACTATAGTATCAGCTGATTAGGGTGTCAAGGTGCTAAGACAGAACAAGACAAACTATCTTAAAAATTTTCTTGGAGAAAAAATTACAAGTTAAATATTGTTAACCTCAGGAAATAGAATGCCACCTCTAATTCAAAACAAACAAACTGTAGTCATGAGAACTACATGAAGAAACCAAATGACTAGAAGTGGGAATACGTAGTTTGCATAACAAGGAGAGAAAAAAAATATTGGTCTCAATTAAAAGAAAAATACCAACAGTTAAACAAAATGTAATTGACCACTGGTTGACCAATTGGCCTTCCTGTCACTTCTGTCTCAAGGTTTTCAGCCAGAAATTAGATGTCCTTCTATTAGGAATGCTGAAGTGAGTGATTCCTATACTGTGTTCATAGCTAGACCTGAAGGTCTCTAATGCTCCTTCCATGCCCAAGAGTTGATGAATAAAGTAGTAGGTTAGTAAAAAGGATTATAAAGAAAGTCATTTTTTAATCAAAATACATAATCATAATATGAGGGAAGTTAGTATTTGTTAAAACATTCTGCAAGCTAGAGCAATCTCCACAAGTAGACTAAATTTCTTATTGATTAAAAATTGAAAGAAAATCAAAGTCAATATTTCCTATATCAGTATTAATGTTTATTAAATAAATAAATATCATTCAGTTGATATTCACAGGTAATTTTAAATTTAAATTGAGGGACTCAACTTTGAAACCTCAGAATTAGTTTAGTTCATCTATGAAAAAGTTGTTTTTGAGCTCAAATTGTTCACTATATACATGCTAATTAGCTTTAAAAATACAATTTTTAGACACAATCTTCATTCCAAAAGAGATGCCGGAAATTCATCAGTGATGGGTAGGATTTCAACAGAGAGAAACTGTAAACCTTAAATAATGAAGTGATTATTTAGTCTAGCACCTAATTTTATTCATTTTTTAATTAATTAGCTAACTTTTTCAGGATTCTTCCCAATCTGTGCTTTTTCTATTTAGAGATTTTGAACAAGAAGAAGCAAATCTCCTACTAATTATTTTCCTTTATTCTTATGCATTCTTGGGCTTTCCACAAATCATGAGAAAATGGCATTTTTTATATGTCTAGACATCATTACAGCAAAGTGTGTACTCTAGGCAAGCAGACTTGGTCCCAAATTCTGCCTTTATCACTTACTTGCTGAGTAGCATGAAAGAAGTTCTTTTGTTTCTCGAATCCTCAGTTTTACATCTTTAAAATGCAGATGATATTAGTATCTACATCATAGATTTGTTACAAGGCCTGAGATACTAGCAGTATTATCAGTGAAATGCAATCTTAAATAGAATGTCTAGTTTAGAGGATGTATCCACTATTGGCATTGTTATCAATCTTCTCCATTAAAATATTTTAATATAGATGTTTAGCCCTGGTAGGCATATTTCACCGGTAGGAGCTTTAAAAACAAAATTAAAGAACATGACTTTTAATTTTAGATATACCACATTTATAAAGAAATTTTTACAATGTTCATGTAAAAATAAGTAAACAGTGAATAAACATATCTTAAATAAAATTAATAATGCAAACGAGGCAAAAGTAATAAGAGTTTTTTAGTGACCACAAGATACCACATAGCTTACTTTATACTTGAATTCATATGGATGAATTGATGGTCTTTGAATTTAGACACTTCTAATATACATACTGCAGAACTGTCTACTGAAAAAACCACTTGGAATACTGGAAAGAGTATCATGAAGTTAGCTCTGTGAGAGCAAGAATCCTATCTGTTTTGCTTTTTATACATCCAACAGCTTACCATAGGACTGTGCACACAGTAGAGACTCAGATCAGTTTTTTGTTTTTGAGGCAGAGTTTCAACACTGCTAAGAGTGCTATGGGATTGTGTCCTAACTCACAGCCACCTCAAACTCCTGGACTCAAGCGATCCTCTTGCCTCAGTCTTCCAAATAGTTGGGACTATATGCCTGCCCAATTATGCACCACTAATTTTTTCTTTTTAATTTTTAGTAGAAATGAGGTTTCCCTCTTACTCAGGCCTGTTTTGAACTCCTGAGCTCAATCACTCAACCCTCCTTGGCCTCCCAGAGTGCTAGGAATACAGTACATCACAGTCAGTGACTCTATCTCCAAATTAATGCGTTTCTGACTAGAATCAGGAATATGTTGTTTGCACAACAAGA